CACACACACACACACACACACACACACACACACACATATATATATATATATATATATATATGGGATTCCTTACTAATTGAGTCAAATAATATGTTTTTAGCCGAAATTGATATTATAATATACAACTAGAGTTCTAATATACAAGTGACAATAATAAGTATAGCATTTTCCTTCCCGAGAAGTAAAAATTCTAATGCTTACCAGGTCTAGTTTAATGTCACATCAACATAGCTTACAAGGTCTAGTTTAGTGTCACATCAACATAGCTTACCAGGTCTAGTTTAGTGTCACATCAACATAGCTTACCGGGTCTAGTTTAGTGTCACGCCAACATAGCTTACCGGGTCTAGTGTAGTGTAACGTCAACATAGCTTACCAGTTCTAGTTTAGTGTCACGTCAACATAGCTTACCGGGTCTAGTGTAGTGTAACGTCAACATAGCTTACCAGTTCTAGTTTAGTGTCACGTCAACATAGCTTACCGGGTCTAGTTTAGTGTCACGTCAACATAGCTTACCGGGTCTAGTTTAGTGTCAAGTCAACATAGCTTACCGAGTCTAGTTTAGTGTCACGTCAACATAGCTTACCGGGTCTAGTTTAGTGTCACGTCAACATAGCTTACTAGGTCTAGTTTAGTGTCACGTCAACATAGCTTACCGGGTCTAGTTTAGTGTCACGTCAACATAGCTTACTGGGTCTAGTTTAGTGTCACGTCAACATAGCTTACCGGGTCTATTTTATTGTCATGTCAACATAGCTAACCAGGTCTAGATACGAGTGTCAAATCAGTATAGCTTACCAGGTAAAGTAGAGTGTGAAATCAACATATCAGACCAGGTTTGTAAACAAGATGAAGCAGACATAATAGGCTGTGATGCATTTTGAATTATTTGCTGAATATATGGCTTGGAGTCAGCTTTACAACATATAGAAACTCCTCTGTCATAGTTGTCTACAATAAAAATAAATATAAAAATAAATAAATGTTATATGATAAATGTTTGTATGCTTAAACATACTCAATTCCAGATTCATTATCTCTGATCATACCTATTTAACAATCACAACATATATAAAGTAGTCAATCTAATCTCTGTTTATAACTCTGACAATGGAATTTATCAACAATTGGCATTCCACACTATAAATACAACAACAATAGTCAAGATAGGGGTACATCTTTAAGCAGGTGTTTCTATTTTTTGCCCAATCTTTGTAGATATGTTTACATTATATTAAAGGCGTTATCTTGATTATTGTTGTTGTGTTTATAGTGTGGAATGCCAATTGTTGATAAATTCCATTGTCAGAGTTATAAACAGATTCGTCCTCAAATGTTCAATGAACCAGATCCTAAGTTAATTAGTCCCCCCCCCCATGAACTCTCAGACAGGTGATCTGTAATGTATAAATAGTTTAAGTATATATATAACCTCTATTCTACATTAGTTATCAAGCAATATGGGAAAGAAGTCCAACTTAACTGATTTTCTAAGTGAGCAGATCATAGAAGCCTAATTAATAAGTATTTTCTAAGAAGACAGGTTGCAAGAATCTGATTAATAAACAAAGCAACACAGGAAAGAAGTGTGACTTAATTGAATTTCTAAGTGGACAGACTGTAAGAGCCTGATTAATAGATGCTTCAGTGACCCAAATTGTATAACTTCTTTGAACAACGTCAAAGATAATTGTAACATGGCAATTACTTCACAAGTGTAATCCAATAACTGTAATGATTGGACATTATGTGTCAACAAGATCACCATGCTTCATGTAAAACCAAATTATGTACTCATTCAACACACGGGGAAGACAAAGACCCCCCCCCCTCTGAAGGTTACATACATCCAAGCACAACCACCCATTTCATTCTACATGGAGCCCTAAGGGTACATGTCAGGTTTCATGACAATCAATCTAGAAGTCCAGAAACTATAGGTGAACACAAGGAACAACTCAGATGCCTCATGAGTGACACAGGACAGTCAGGTCCAAACAATGACCACTTCCATGTCACTCTTCAATACATACCAGGTTTGATGACTGTTAGATATACATAAATGGTTCCTTTAAGTTTAATACAAGAGTTATGATTTAGATAGTAACAAAGCACAAATGTTAAAGTAAGTTATTTTTAGAAGTGATAGTTATTGCAGGTTTGCTTATGTAACTGTTTAGGAATCATTTGTTGTGTAGTTCAACTGTTGTGAATTGACGTCACGTTACTCAAACCTTGAGTTTTTCTCGTTGCTTTAGGTGAGTATTGTTACTTTATAACATCTTGTAGTTTGTAGAAAGTTCTACGCCTCAGTTGAGCAATCCATTAAATTAAACTATTATAAAAAAACTCAATGTCAGTCCTTATTTAAATATGTATCAAGCCTTCTTCCCTTACATTTACTGCTTTCACCACATCTGGTCGAAAGGCCACCTACCCTGTCAGTAACATCAAGGCATCTCAGCTGAAGAAGAATTCTGCCCTAGTCCTACCATTCTCATCATTAAGTACATAAAAGATGTGTCAACATATATCAATTCCTTTAACAATCTTAAACACCTCAACCAGGTCCCCTCTAATTATCCTCTTTTTCAAGAGAACAATTGCAGAGATCTTAACCATTTTTTTGTGACAACCTTTCCATCCCAGGTATCATCCTAGTAGTCCTCCTCTGAACCTTTTACATTTAATAATTGTAGTAAAGTGCTCAAGAATAAGTTTTGAAGCTCCCAATGACAAATATATTTTATTCTCACATTTAAAGCTTGCAGTACCAGACTGTTTGTAGAACAATTTAAAATATAAGCCTAAAGATATGTTGTCAATTAAACAGATTAAGAATATAAAACAGATAAAGTAACAAAATACATTAAATAACTGCTATAACAATATTTTGGTAATACTGGCTTCCTTCAGAAAAGTGTGCATGTTTTAACAAATGAAAAAGAGAAAATGATTGTTGATGTTCAACAATACGTATGTAGCTGTGATGACCTTTTGTAACACTAGACAAGAAAGAGGTTATGACTAATCAAAGGACATGAAAGTGAGGATTCCTTAAGCTAATCTGTTTATCATCCCTTAAAAACCATCATTAACCACACATGAACCAGAGTAAAAAACACACCTAGATCTAATCTGTCATAACACATACATATAAAACACATTAACTTAATATAACCATTAAATGGAAATGCATCAATTTCAAAAAACAAATTTCTTTAGTTGCAAATTGAAATGTTATTCATATCAGTTACTATAAAGGTTATCTAGATTTGTCTTTTATGATATAAGGTATTTTATCTTGTTTTCCCTACAATATAAAGTATTTACCTGATACATGGAGCAATTTTAACTCAACTTCAAAGTATACCCTAAACTACATAAATGCTGAAATAAACATGCTTACCTCCTTGACAGGCCTGAATGAAAAACATCTTGGGTTTCCCACGTAGTCGTTGACAATTATCATTGTTAAAAAAGTTTAGTATTGTGTCTAGCTGAACTTTTTCTGCATCTGATCCATAAATAATATTATAATCCCCATGACTTAATATGATCACTACACAGGAATCTACTTCCTCATGCTCTGGTTTTTCTGAAAACTTCTTCGTAAGGCCAAGGATTTCCTATATTAAATACAGATAAAATACTTCTGATTTATTTCAATATGCAAGTAAATGAAATAAAGTAAATCACTCATATCTCTATCCATAAAGCAAAAATAAGAAAAGTGTACAAATTAATTTGTGAGCAATTAAAACAAATAACTATTTTTATACTGATGAGTATCAAGTACTTAATTTACCTTGTTAACTCTTTAACATACTTTTTTTAACAATACTATTTCAAAGTAATACACACTGCTTTTGAAGAAGTGATTCAGACACATAAGATAGTGGCAGCTGTGCTAATTTTAGGTAACACACAGAGCAACACTTTCAAGATATTAAAAAGAGATACTACTTCAATTTTCTGGATGGTTTTCCACTAGAAAGAACTACAATGACGATCTTACTAGGCCACTCTCTCACCTGTGCTGTCTGATCTGACCGAAAGATCACCTCATAACCGAGCTCATGAAAGACAACATCAAGTTTCCTTGCATCTTCATAAGATCCAAACCTTTCAGGAAGAATGTTTTGGAATAAAACATTGTTGATGATCAAACAGTATCCTCGTGGTCGTGAGGACATTTTGTAATACTAGATAAAGAAAAAAAAAAAGAGAGATTATTACTCACTAAAGAACATTATAGTGACCACTCATTTGTTCTTAGACTTTGATGAAATTTTATTTAATAGCATTTAAACTAAAAAGATTTAAACATTTATAATGTTTTTTTTTATTGATGATAATGATTTTAAAGAGATTTCCTGCTAGATCTCGAACCACCATACACTCAAATAGAATCTAAGATACTACTCTTACAAGATAGTGATAACTTAATTTCAAAACTAAAAATCTAATTATTTCATTTCTTGTATTCATTACTCCTTAAACTCTACCTCAATACTTGAAAAAAATAACTTTATACTGAATCCTTTTTTAATTGTATAATGGGTGTTACAATGCATAAAAAAATATTCCCAGTGTTTTACATATATTATCTATTACAGTAATTTACGAACTGTGTTGCGACACATTAGTGTGTCACAGCAAGTTAATCCTTTTGAGATGGGTCATGGGTGAAAAGCCATGTCATCTCGTTTGTTGACTCACATTCAAAATTGTTATTGAACTACTATTTCATTCATTTATGTCACTAACTTTGGTATCAAACTGTAGATTATAATTCAAATTTTAGTACTATATATTACATAACAATGGTCAGTTTTATGTTATTTGATACAGTAACA